TCAAGTGGTAGAGTGCTAGCCTTGAGCAAAAGAAGCTTGGGGACAGTGCCTGGGCCCAGAGTTCAAGCCCCAGGACTGACAAAAAATAAAAATAAAAAAAAATAAAAAAAATTAGAATGGAAAAAGTTTTCCAGCTGTTTAAAGAATAAAAGATTAATAACTAGAATATATAAAATTTTCAAATAAACATAAAAAGGAAAAATAATCCAATTAACAAATGGCAAACAAACTAGACAACTCTTCAAAGATAAAACACAAATGAATAATAATAAAATAAGAAATGTTCAACATCCTTAGCTATAAAAGAACTGCCAAACAAAACTATGTTAGGATTCCATCTCACTTCAATCAAAATGGTAATCATCAAGAAAATGAACAACAAATGTTGATCTAATCTTATTCTTAAGTATGGGCTACACTAAGTAAGTTCTTCCTAAAAAAGTAAACACTTTTGAAAAAGGAAACATAGGTTACTTGACACTGACCCCTGACTTAACTGGATGATCAAGGTTAATATAACTCTAGTAAATCATGTTCATATAATATCATATTGTAATCATGTGATGATAACATTCATGTTATCCTTAAAATCTATAACCGATACTACCCATGAGGAAAACCTTCAGAAAAGTCACAATTGAGAAACCCTCTTCAAAATATCTGACTTCTACCTCTCAAAGGTGTCTAGGTCATCAAAAACAAGGAAAATATAAGAAGATACAAATGAATATAACAATATAAACAAAATAAATCCACAAAAGGGTTTTAGAGACACATTATTAAATCTGAATAAACTGTGGAGTTTAGTTAATAATTAGGTAACGATACTGAACTTTCACTGAGGATAAATGTGCCAGAGTAATAGAAAATGTTAATAAAGGGCTGGGAAGGTGGCTCAGTGGCAGAGTGCTTGCCTTGCATGCCCGAGGCCCTGGGTTCGATTCCTCAGCACCACATAAGCAAAAAAGAAAAAAGCCGGAAGTAGCGCTGTGGCTCAAGTGGTAGAGCGCTAGCCTTGAGCTGAAGAGCTGAGGGACAGCGCCCAAGCCCAGAGTTCAGGCCCCACGACCGGACCCAAAAAAAAGAGAAAATGTTAATAAAGGCTTGGAATGTGGCTTAGTGGTAGAGTGCTTGTCTAGCATGCATGAATGAAGTCCTGGATCGATTCCTCAGTGCCCAAGCCCTGAGTTCAAGCCCCAGAACTTGCTAAAAAAAAAGAAAAAAGAAAGAAAGAATGAAAGAGAGAAAGGAAGAGAGAAAGAAAGAGAAGGAAAGGAAAGAAGGAAGGAAGCAAAGAAGGAAGGAAGGAAAAAGAAAAGAGAAAAACAAAAACAAAAAAGAAAAAGCTATTAAAGAATACAAGGTGTGGTTTAAACCTTACTGTCCTCACAACTTTTCTGGAGGTCTAAAATTATTCTAAAATAAAATTTATTTTTTAAAAAACTGGTATAACACAGACATATAATATTATATAAAGACATGAAAAGAAAATAAGAGTTAACCAAACAGTAAGGAAATTAACCATGAGCCTGGCCCTGGAAGCTCACGTCTATAATCCTAGATACTCAGGAGGTTGAGATTTGAGGATTGAGGCTCAAAGCCAGCCTGGGGAGGCAAGTCCATGAGACTCCTTTTTTTTTTTTGCTTTTTAATATCTATCTCTCTATCTAGAGAGATAGATAGATATGTCATTATATATCTTTATATAGATATGTTGTTGTTGTTGTTTTTGGTTGTGGGCCTGAACTCTGGGTCTGAGCACAGTCCCTCAGCTCTTCAGCTCAAGGCTAGCACTCTACCACTTGAGCCACAGTGCTACTTCTGTCGTTTTCTGCTTATGTGGTGCTGAGGAATGAACCCAGGGCCCCATGCATGCAAGGCAAGCACTCTACCACTGAGCCACACTCCCAGCCTTAATATATATATACATATATATATATATATAATTATAAACATACTGTACAGAGGGATTACATGAGTAAGATGAGTCCTTTTCCTATTGAGCATTGCTTCCCCCTCCTTTTATCTCCAATTACCAGAAAATCATTGGAAGTGGTGCTGTGGCTCAAATGGTAGAGCACTTGCCTTGAGATGAAGAGCTCAGAGACAGTGCTCAGGCCTAGAGTTCAAGCCCCATGACTGACCGGCCCAAAACAGAAAGTAACCATGTACTAATAAAAATATATTTTACAAAAAAAAGGAAGAAATAGGGCCTTTGAGAGTCAATTAGAATGCTAGGACTCCACTCTCATAGGCTTAATGGCATTTCAAAAATGTGAGTTTAGCCACCTTTTGCCTTTCTACTTTCCACCATGTAATAATGCATTAGTAGGCCTTCCCTAGAAGTTGGCACTTTTATTTTTGTACTTCCAAACCTCTAGAACCATAAGCTAATATATTTGTTTCTTATAAATTATCTAATCTCATTTACTTTTTTACAAAACCATAGGTTAGAGCTAGGCACCGATGGCTCATATCCGTAATCCTAGCTACTCAGGAAGCTGAGATCTGATTATCACAGTTGGAAGCCAGCCCAGGCAAGGAAAGTCTGTGAGACTCTTACCTCAAATTAATCATCAGAAAACTGGAAATGATGCTGTGGGTCAAGTGGTAAGGCACTTGCTTTACAGTGCCCAGGCCCAGAGTGTAAGACCCACAACTGACAAAATCAACGAAACAAAAAATGAAAGCCACAGGTTAAAACATTAAAAAAAGTTTTTGCTAGTGATTTGTATTTTAGAACATAAAAACATAATTCAATAAAACACAGTTCACAGAGATTATCTCACCTCATTTAAAATAACTATAAACAAAAAGCAAAACATAATAATCAATGGGAGGTTGCAGAAAAAAATAATTCTCCTATACTGTTGATGGGAATATCTTAAAGATATCCATTATGGAGGACAGTATGAAGGTACTTCAAAAAGTGAAAATCAGATTTATTAATGTGATTCAACTACGATTTTTAAATTTATATACAGAAAAACTCAAATTAATATATCAAATAGATACCTATAGTCTTTTTTTTTTTTTTTTTTGATCTGGTCGTGGGGCCTGAACTCTGGGCCTGGGCCCTGTCCCTCAGCTCTTCAGCTCAAGGCTAGCACTCTACCACTAGAGCCACAGCGCCACTTCCGGCTTTTTTCTTTTTGCTTATGTGGTGCTGAGGAATCGAACCCAGGGCCTCATGCATACAAGGCAAGTGCTCTACCACTGAGCCACCTTCTCAGCCCCTAGTCTTATATTTATTGGGACAAATCAAAACTAGCTGGGGATGGCTTTGAACCTTAATCCTCAGATTTCAGAATCCTGGGTAGTTATAACTACAGTGATCAGTGCTTAGATATTTTTCATGATTTAATAAATACACATTGCATGAGGTCAATACATAATCATTTTACATATGTATATATGTATATATATGCATGTATGTATATATACACAATTACTATATGAAAATTTAAAATAAAAATAAAAATAGAAGATGGTTATTTGGGGATAGAAAGTGTAGAATTTGTTTTTGATTATTTGTATCTTTCAATAGATAAAATGCTTTACAATGATTTGTTTTCAACAGATAAAGCTATTAATCTAAACTAAAACTAGATTGTTAACCTAATCACAATTTTAAAACTGTCATTGTTTCATATTTATGGCTTTTTTTTTTGCAAGTCCTGGGGCTTGAACTCATGGCTTGGGCACTGTCCCTGAGTTTTGCTCAAGGCTAGCACTCTACCACTTGAGCCACAACCCCAATTCTGGCTTTTTCTGTTTATGTGGTGCTGAGGAATTGAACCCAGGGCTTCATGCATGCTAGGCAAGCACTATACTACTAAGCCACATTCCCAGCCCAGTATTTATGGCTTTCTGTCTCATATTTTAATTAGTGCTTAACTCTGATCCTCCACATAACCTAGCACATGTTGTAACTATATAGATTATATGATTAATATTCAATTACTATGCTAACTTAACAAATAACCTATTTCTAGAGGCATTTTCGTTGGAATACCACCCCAGACTTGCTGAAGTGTAGAATCTGCATTATAGCAAGATCTTCCAAGAGATTAAACTTGCACAGTAAAATTTGAGATATACAAATTTCTGTGGCATTGTTCTTCCAGGTGTGGTCCATCACTTACCTTATTAGAATCACCTGGGTGGCCAAAATAGTACTCTCAGACTTTATTATTTCAAGTATCACTAAAGTTTAAGAGCCATATCTAAAAAAATATCAAGCAGCTGGAAGTGAGGGAAGGAGTGACACTGTCCAAAAAGAAATGTACTCATTATCTGACTTATGGAACTGTAACCCCTCTGTACATCACATATATAATAATACAAAAATAAGAAATATTTAAAAAAGAAAAAAGTAGTGAAGAACAGAAACAGATATTAAACAAGGGGCAAGAAAGGAACTCAAAGAGTTGAAATCTATCAAGAAAGTGGTAAGAAAGGAAGAGAGGAGATAATCATCAGAAGAAACAGTAGAGTCATGTGGAAAGTACAATAACTGTACTGAGAGTAATTTTTTTTTTCGCTTTCTCTTTTTCTTTACTGACCAAGGCACAATGACCTCATTTGTAATCCCAAATAATTCCTAAATCTATGCTGGAAAAGAAGTTAGCAAGATCCCATCTATATGGGAGTCTTATAAGTAGGAGGATCACAGTCCAGGTCAGCCTAGGCAAAAGCAGAAGACCCTACCACAAAAATAACTACAGTGAAAGGGCAAAAAATGTTTTCCTAACAAGAAAAAGACCTTGAATTTACATACCAGTACTTTCTTTTGCTGAAAATAAACAAGACAAAATAAAAAACTGCAATCTCCAACAGGCAAATTACTAGCATGCCAAATGATTTAGAAAAAGATTACAAGGATATACAATGTCTTATTGCAACAATAAGACTCAGTAACATTTTTAACATGTGACTATTACATAAAACATGCATTTCATAAATATTTCCATCACCTATAATTTTAAATGTGTACGTACACTTTTAGAGAAACTTCCATATGCTTGGCTCGTGCAATTGCTTCATCTCTCTCCTTAATCGCCAGTTGCAGTCTAGCCATAATAGCTTCATCACGTTCTCTCTGTGCAAAATACACTTCTTCAACCAGAGCTGCCAAAATAGATAGCCCATAATTAATTAGAAAAAGCAAAGGACAAATGCATATAGTTAGCAAAAGCAAAATTCAAATATAATTCTTTTTTTTGGGGGGGTCCGGTCGTGGGGCCTGAACTCTGGGCCTAGGCACTGTCCCTCTGCTCTTCAGCTCAAGGCTAGCGCTCTACCACCTGAGCCACAGCGCCACTTCCGGCTTTTTTTCTTTTTGCTTATGTGGTGCTGAGGAATCGAACCCAGGGTCTCAGGTATGCAAGGCAAGCGCTCTACCACTGAGCCACCTTCCCAGCCCCTATAATTCTTATTTTAACAAATTTCTTTGACCTAATTGAATTATTATCAATAACTTTAGAAACCATTTTAATAGCTTTTACAAAATTGAGCTAACAACATTCAAAAGAGAAGAAAATATTAAAGGTTCCAATAATAGATGTTAGTTTGTGAATAAAAAGAAACTCATACATTGAAGATAGACATATGTCTTTCTACAATATGAAGAAGACTTTGACATCATTTATTAAAGCCGACAACATGCCTATTCTAATATTTCAAGTCCCCTCTTTGGTATGTAGTATAGCAAAATTATTATACATAACATACGTGCAAAAGGAAACATGCAAAAGAAAAATTTCAGTACCTTTTATAATAATGAAAACTTAGAAATAACAAATGTCCATCAACACGAGCAATAATAAACTACTAAAACATCAGAATGAAATACTACTCGGTATTTAATGTGAATGCTATGGGCAGAAAAGAAAACCTAAGAAATGAAAAGTTGACAAAAATGGCAAGCTGTAAAGTAAAACTACCTACAAATTTCACATAGTCACAACTAGTAAAAATAACTCAACAGGCATGGAAAACATGAGCACCCAACTTGGGATAGTAGTCTCCTCATTGAAATGCTGTAAGGGGAGGAGAGGGAATGGATCAGGAAAGAATAAAAACAGGCAGAAGTGTGATGATTTAGCATTTCATATTTGCCAAAAGCAGGGACACCATTGATACAGATTATGATGCAAATTATATCACTTAGATTTGTAAAATACTACTGAAAAGAGCTTTGATGGTCTAAAGTTGTCCTTTTCTTTCTCTTTCTCTATCTCTCCCTCCCTTTCTTCTTCTTCTGTTGTTGTCGTCATCTTCTACCCCCCCTCTTCTTCTTCTTCTTGCTGGTCTGGGGGCTTGAAATTAGGGGTCTGGGTGCTGTCCCTGATCTCAAGGCTAATATGCTACCACCTGATCCACAGCTCCACTTCCAACTTTTTGGTGCTTAGAGATGAGAGTCGTATGCACTTTCCTGCTGAGGCTGGCTTAGAACACAATCCTTAGATCAAGGCCTCCTGAGTAGCTAGTATTACATGCATGTCCACTGGAACCTGGCTGAAATAGTTCTTTAGTTTTTAAAACAGTGGGATGATGCTCAAAGTTTGTTATGAATTGATTCACAGCTAATCAACACAGTTATCATTATATTACTTAAACTATAAATTCATTCTGAGAAGAGATCAACTCTACCTTTTCCATTATAGAGTATGAAATACTTAAGTGTAAAATATAACATGTTATGACGAAGCAAATGTTGAAGCAACATCTAGTTTGGGGTTAGAATGCTAGCTACTCAGAAACTACATAAAGATAAATTTGTTTTAAAAATCTCATTTGAAGCCAGACCTTGCAGACATATCTGAGACTTATCTCCAACTGACTAGCAAAAAAGTCAGAAGCATATATGTGGCTCCAGTGATAAAGCATATCTGTGCAAGTGCTGGAGGCCTTGAGTTCAAGCTCTAGTACCAGAACACACCTATCAAACAAACAAAACAAATAGAAAATACTTCAAAGAAGAAAGAAAAGAAGTTTAACCATTCATTCATTTATTAAATATTTATCAAAGTTCTGTAACAGTCATGCATATTGTTGTTTTAAGGGAAATGAATATACTAGGCTAATGAGTCCTTTCTATCAGGAATTATACATTGTATTACAGTGAGACAGACAATTCAGTCAGGCAGGCAAGAGGAAGGACAGGGAAAGCAAGAAAAGAAGGAGGGGAAGAAGATAGGAAGGAAGGAAGGAAGGAAGGAAGGAAGGAAGGAAGGAAGGACGGACGGACAAATAAGAGAATTAATAATAGAAGGCCTTGGAAGTATCCAAAAAACAACATGAAAGCCATATGGTTGGAACGTAGTAAGTGAAGGTGGAGTTCTGTGAGATCATTTTTGGCCTTAGAACCCACAGTAAGGATGCTAGATATTGTCTAAGCATGATAGTAGCTACTGAAAATTCCAAACAAGGGAAATCATGACTTTTATGTTTCAAAAGGAATATTCTATATTGTGGGTGAGAAATAGATGAACAAGAGTGGAAACAAAAATGTCAGGACAGTCATCAAAATAAGCAATTCCATCAGTGGTTCTTATAAATGATCTGCAATTGGGAATTTTCAAGTACATATAAATAAATATATATGCCAACCTATAATTTGGTTATTACATGAAGTAGACTTCAACATAAAAACAGTTTCAACAGAAGTATCTTTTTTTTTCTTTTTCCCCTAGTACTGGGATTTCAACTTAGGGCCTTGTGCTTCCCTGGTTTTGTTCATGACATCACTTGAATGACTACCACTTGAGCCACATCTCTACCCAATGTTTTGCTGGTTAATAGGAGACAAAGTCTGCCTGGTCTGGCTTCTCAGTACAATCTTCTAGATCTCAGCATCCTGAGTGACTAGGATTACAGGCATGAGCCATCAGGGCTGGGCCAGTCTATGTTTCAGAAAGAGAGCCCAAGAGTTTAGACTACTACATGCATAAGATGTACAGAAGTGGAAGAAAATTGCAAGTTGTAGTACATATTCTCCTGAACTAAATATTAGATTATTAAAAACAGCCTGGATGAGAAATAACAAAACCCCAAGTAAAGACAATGGTAACAGAAATGAAAAAGAGAAAAACAAAGGGCTCATTAATAACAAAGATTAAGTCTTAGAGTTACTAAGCAGTGAAACTTAAGTAGTAAAATTTAGAGGGGAGGAAAATGAATCACCTGAAGTCACTCACAGTCATTCCTCAAGCTATCAATCATGTAATCTTCATCACATTCTAGGGTAAACATGTTACTTTCTCACCACTGCTCTATTGTTTTTGTTTTTTAAATAAGTTTATTTATTGTGAAAATACTGTACAGAGGGGTTACAATTACATGGGCAAGGTAATGAGTACATTTCTTATCCAGCACTGTTGCCTCCTTTGTTTTCCCCAACCATCTCATCTCTCCCACCTCCTCAACTACACCCTCCCACCCCCTCACCCTCCCCAACCTCCCACCCCGGCCAAAATTGTAAAGTTCATTTTTTGACATTGCGTCTTGTACATCTCATTGTTACAATGGGCCCCATTTGTTAGGAAATAGAAAGACTTGGAGAAAATTACATTAAGTGAAGTAAGCCAGGCCCAAAGAAACAGGTCCCATAGTTTCCCTTATTTCCAATAACTAGTGTATGTCTGGGACAGCAGAAGAAGCTCAGATAAGATGCTAAGCAAAATGAACCCCAAGATAGGGACACAAGTTTTTCTTCCTTGCTATTGTTTCTAACATATTTATAAGGTACCATGTGATTTTTTTTGTTGGTTTGTATGTTCCACTCCCATGGTATAACCCCTGTTTTCACTGTATTTGATGTTGGTATAATTTGGGGAGGGGAAGGGAAAAAACAAAATGCTCTTTTGTTTCTAAGGGGAAAAAAAGTTTTCAGAAGCATTCAAACCCAGAGTCCCATTTTAGTTCTGGGAAGATTGAGAGAACATGTGCGAAATTTTCATTACAAAAACAAAATTATAAAAATTTTTTGGACACATGGTACAGCTATTTGACCAATACAGGATATTAGAACCCAAACTGCCATGAAAGTCAGGAGTATTCCATTTTACTTTGCTCTGGCATTTCCTAATGTGAATCCAAACCCATAAGACATCACAATGGAAAAATCTTTTCCATATAAGATCTTTTTCTCCCACTATGGAGTTCAGAAACACAAGGGAAAACCTGTTAACTTCCTTTTATGTTCTGTTTCTGAATTTGTTAACTCCTAAGCAATCTCACAGGAAAGGCACCAGCAACAGTGATGCCAGCTGGCAAGGGAGAGGTATAGAAGCCAAAACTCTAAAGGAAAAACACTTAATTTTACTCTCGATTTGGTGAACTCCAGAGGTCCACCTGTGCATCTTCCTTTGTCCTTATGCAACTATAACGCAGGAGCTTGTGCCTAGATGCTAGAAAGGGAGCCACACAAAAAAAAATCCAGAAATTAAAGGAGATAGTGGAGAGGAAGAATGTTAGGAAAGCAAGGTAAGATGTAACATCATGATATATTTACAAATTAACATGTACATTCTATCATTCTGAATATTCAGGTATACTGTTAATGTAAAATGCTAATTGGTAGATTTTAAAGGCCAACAAATTTCCTATTGTTTCTATAAAGGTTGATGGTTTTATTTGGTTGTTTTTTTTCAGCAGTACTAAGATTTAAACTTGGAGCCTTGCACTTACTGAGCAGCTGCTCTCAACTTAAGCCACACCCCTAGCCATTTCTGCTTTCATTACTATTTTTTGGATCAAGGTCTATCTTTTATTTTTAAACTACTTTGGAATGGTATCTTCCTATTCATGTTTTTGCATAGCTGGGATGAAACGTGTATGCCACTATGTTCCGGTTGTTTGTTTGTTTTTTTTTAGTTGGCTGAGATGGGGTCTTGCAAATATTTTGCCAAGGCTGGACTAGAACCATGTTCCTCCAGACATCTACCTCCTAGTATTACTGGCATAAGTTACTGAACTGGCTGGGTTTTTTTTTTCTCTCATCTGTTTTTGAGACAGGAGTTTCATTATGTATCCCAGGCATACTGGAATTCCATACACAGTCCAGAATAACCATGGGACTTACTTATCTGATTTAAATGTGACCCGACACTTATAAGAAGACATCG